GAGGTAAAAGAGGAACGGGAGGGGGTAATAGAGTGTATGTATTGTATGGTACGGGGGATGATAGCAGCAATCTAAGCGCGCGCGGATCCGCTTGCTCGAAAGGCAATCTAGTCAATCACGCGCACAGCACGCGGCAGGGGACGTAGAGGTATGCGGGTAATGTGCAACGCCTTACGAAGGGAGGAGGAAAAGCGGAAGGAAGGGAAGGTAGGGGGAGAGAGAGAGCACCCACATTGACATCCTATCGCCTGGATTCGTCACCCGCAGAGGCACTGAACGGAACGCGTCAGCATGTGGTGGCAGCGCGAATTGGCAGAAGACGAAGGACGATCAAGGTCCGTCCAGCAGTATCCACAGTACACATGACGCGCGGGAGAGGACGAGGACCGTATGACGCAGACGGACGTGAACGCGAAGACAAGACACAGGTAGCCACGGCCACGCTGCAGCCTCGTGCCGCCGAACCTACGCCATCATGGCGACGGGCCTCGAGTCACCGTGCGGCGGGAGTCAAGCTGACTCTTCCTCCCACCGCGACCGCTCGTCCGGGGGTCTATGGATGGACAGTGCAGACGTCTGCCTCGGTGCGCTCCTCGACCCGCCACACTGCTGCAGATGTCCCCCATTGCGCATGTCAACGGGGTCTCGGGCCAGATAGCCCCATGACCATAGTAATCTCGCCATTCCCCAACGAATACCACGTCTCATCTAGCACCCCAGCACGTTTTCCTCTGCTCCTGCGTCCGCACTGCTCTGGACGTCCCCGCTCGCGCACCTCGTCCTCTAGACATAACAGATAGCGCCGCCTGCGCTTCCCCTCCGCGAGCAGAGCACCTCCTCCTGCTCCTGCTCCTGCTCCTGCGGCCGCTCGCCCCGACACGGCGTCGCGGCGTCCACAACGCGACCACCCTCCCGCCGCCCCCTCCCCTCGCTCCCCCCAACCCCCACCCCCAAAACCGAAACCACCTCCCGAACCCAAATCACGAATCCCGAAAAAAAGCCCTACCGCGATTCCCCACGGGCACCCCGCGCACCATCCCGAGCAGCGGGATGCTCGTCACGCTCGTGAGGCTGTCGACGCTCCCGCGGTGCGCACCGAGCGGCGGGCGCTCCGTGTTGAGCGGGAAGGACGAGGGCGGGGGGAGGGGGTCGGAGACGCTGCGCGGGGCGGGGGGTGTGCTGGCGGGGGGTTAGTATAAGGGGAGGAGTGGGAGGATGACGGGGCGAGAAGTGGGCGGGTGAGGGCGGGGGGGAGGAAGCCCCTTGAGCTACCGCGGGCGAAGGGTGCATACGTCCACTGCGTCGGGCAGTACACCGCAGCTCTCGCCACGACGCCGTCGCGCATCCTCCTCCCGGCCGACACGCGCCCACCCGCGAAAAGAGAAAAGAGACACGGCGCACGCACCTCTCCCTCTCCCCGTCCCGGCGCTCCTGCTCCTCCTTCGCGTACGCAGCGAGCAGCGGCGGGAGCCGCGGGGGGCGCTGTGGGTCGGTCGGGGCGCGGACTGTATGGAAGGGTGGGTTAGCGTTTGGGTGAGGATGGGGAGAGGGACGGGAGAGGAAGAGGGAGCGGAGACGGGCGCGCATCGGCCATCCTTCGCACAGGATCGACAGCGGCGCACAGAGCGCCGCGCGCGTGCACCTCCCCAACGCGCCTCGCATCCGCCCTCGGGCACAGGATCTCCACCCATCCCGAGCCGCGCCCGTCGACACTTCCCCTCGACGACGCGCCGCCAAGGCCGGATCCACCGCCACCGCCATCGCACGTCGACGCGCAGCCCGCGGTCGCCACCGAGCCCCCGCCTCCGTCAGACCCCCACGTTCCTGAGCGGAGACGTCCTTCCGCCACGCGTACTCGCCGCACGGCCAACCCCAGACCCACCGCCACGCCCGCGACGTCTCCTCAGCGCGCGGCGTAGAGGGGGCAAGGCCTCGCATCTCCGTTCTCCGGAGCAGAGATCCGTCCACCCGCCCGCCTGCACATCCACCGCGACAGACACCCCTCAGCGCGGCGTACACGAGCCACCCACCTCACCCACCCCCCTGCCCCCCAAAAAAAACCCAAACCACACGAAGAAAAACACGCACCCAAACCCGGCCCCCCGTCCCCGCCCCCGTCCCCCTCGTCACGGCCGCCCAGGCCCTTGAGCGCGCGGCTGTAGAGGGGTTAGCAGTGTTCTCCGAGGGGGGGGGGAGGGAGGGGAGGGGGTGGAAAGTACGAGGAGACCCGAGGTAAGAAGCGGGGGATGGGAGGACGGGGGGAGGGAGGGGGAGGATGAATAGGAATAGGCGGAACAACGACTCACCTCGCGCGTTTCCACTCGCCGTCGAGCGTCGCGCGCACGCGGCGGAACTCGGCGTCGAGGAAGCCCGTGCGGCGCGACTGGCCCTTGAGGGGGTGCGTTTTCTGGGGGGCGTCAGCTTGGGGGAAAGGAATAGAGGGGAGGGGGGTGGGAAGGACACGACAAGTGCTATCTCCAAGCCACGCGCCGGCGAGGACCCGAATCCGGGCGGGCACGCGCGGCGTGATCGCGATCGACTCTAGGAGACTCAGATACGCGATGCACGGAGACGGAGGGTCTGCAGCGAACGTGCGGGGATGTGGGAGTACAGAGGGAAGGACGGGAGGACGGGAGGAATGAAGGGGTGGGTGTACGTGAATAGATGTGGGAGGATGCGGGGGTCGGGACGAACGACGGACAAAGGAAATGGAAGGCGCACGCATGTCGAAAAAAAAGTGAATGAAAGAGAAACACACACCGTCTTCCCGCGCCAGCTCATATAAAAATCGACGACCTTCTTCGTCGCATCGCCCGCCGCGCTGCGCGGGAGCGCAAACACCACCGGCGGCAGCGTGCGCGCGTTCGCCTTGAGCTTGTCCGCCGCCGTCGCCGTGTCGAGCGCGCGCGCCTTGCCCTTTGATGCGTGCGAGTCGGCCGACGGCGCGTGCGCCAGGGCCTCGGTGTGGTCCGCTTGTTCTCTGGATCCCAAAATCAATACAAGTCGGTATAAAATAAAAGAGTGGAGAAACGCACCGAACGAAGCGCCGCGTAAACTTGACGGCGTCCGCGCCGGTGATCACGTCGAACTCGCTCCCCTTGCCACTCGACACCGAGTTTGCCCTGGCGAACGCGCGCAGGAACTCGGGGCCGTACGCCGCTGCCTCCTTGTCCTTGTCCCTGTCCTTATCCCTATCCCTGTCCTTGTCTCTCTCCTCCTCCCTCCCGGACTTGGAATGGTGCCTAGACTTGGACGCATGCGAGTCCCTCCGCTTCCCGTCCTCCGCGTCCTCCCTGTACCTGGCCCGCCGTCTGTCGTCCTTGTCTCTCGCTCTGTGCCCGTCCTCCCGATCCTTCTCCTTGTCGGATTCGTTGCCCTTCATCATAGCGCGTCGCAAGCAGTCCAGATAGTGCACCACAACAGCAGGTCAACAGCCCAGCGCAACAGCAAGATGGCCGTATTTAGTATTCGCGTGGAGCCCGCTCTGGATGTGAAGCCCCCGGTTCCGGCTCTACAGCCTAATCTCGTATCGTCGGCGATACTGCGTCTCCGACCTTCTTGCCTGAGACACAAGAACAAGGATAGGACAAGGAATAACGCCGGCGCCACTAGATGTGCTCTTGTTCTATTGTCGCCTCGATCAGTCGCGTAACGGAGAAAACATCGGGTTGCGACGGCATCGCGCCGGTCGGGCCCGCGTTGCCTTTTTGGTTTCCGGCATGTTCCGCGCGCGGAAATGCACGCTGTTGAGACGCCGACAGAGGCTAAGTACGTTCTCAGCGCGATTTCATCGGGTCGATGTCAAAGCCAGAGGTGTGACATTTCTCAACTAGCGCTCATTAACTCAAAAAGGCGCACTCTTTCCCACAGAACGGGATACTTACACAAATTATCGGGTGTGGTGTATGGAACACCGCGGGCTCTTTGTTGGCAATCTCGAGAATCTGAAGCAACTCGCAGCACGGGGTTCGATTCCCCACATCCGGATAGGGGGGACAGACACTGATCTTTTTATTCCTCCGTCTAGCATTTCAAGGGTGGTTTAAAATGTATTCAGCAAGAATGATTATCGGGTGTGGTGTACGACACACCGCGGCTTCCCTCCCGAAATCGAAAATTTTCAGAGCAAGAAGTCTGAGGCATTTCATCTCAACATCTTCTGAGCGCTGAGCTTTCATTCAACATCATGATGCCGTCCCCGGCCGATAGCGCGCATTAACTTAAAAAGGCGCCCTCTTCCCCAGAGAGCGGGATACATAAATTATCGGGTGTGGTGTATAGGACACCGGCTCTTTGCCGATGTCTCGAAGCTAACCAGGTCGTAGCACGGGGGTTCGATTCCCCACATCCAGATAGGGGGGACTACCAATCTTTTTATTCGAGTCCTGTCGCAATTTCAAGGCTGGTTTAGCCACGCATTCAACAGGAATAATCATCGGACGTGGTGTACCCACACCGCAATTGAGAAGTCGCCCGCAATAGGGGTTCGCTCACACGAGTATGAGTGTTTTTTTGTCCATTTAGATTAGGACTCGACAAGCTAAATAATCGGACGTGGTGTACTGTACGCACCGCGGGCTTCCCTCCATGAAATTGAGAAGTCGCTCGCGGAACGGGGTTCGACTCCCCGCGTTCGAGTAAATGAAGGGCAGAGGAGTCTTTTTAGTTGTTGGAATTTCGGGGCTGGTTGAACGATGCATCCGATAGGAATAATCATCGGACGTGGTATACGGCGCACCGCGTAGTTCCTCACCCAAGCATCTCTATGGAGGTAGCCCGCCGTACGGGGTTCGACTCCCCGTGCCCGAATCGACTTGCGGAAGATAGCTTTTTTTTCTTCTTCACATTGTTTTTGAGTCTGATTTACCGGATCACTCACTACGTCCAATAATCGCCAACGCTGTTCTATCCGAATGCTCTTCAAGTTCTATGACGTCTTTGTATTTCAACTTTTTAAAATTTCACTGTTGATTTAACCAGATGCTCAACAGGCCAGATCATCGGACGTGGTGTACGGCACACCGCGAGGCTCCTTAAGGCTCTCTGCAATGAATTTACCTCGCAGTACCGGGTTCGACTCCCGGCGTCCGAATCGTCCAAACGCGTTGCTTTTTATTTCTTTCCCCAGAAACTTACCATTTAGATTCGAGTTTAACCAAGCATTCAACGTGCTAAATAGTCGGACGTGGTGTACGGCACACCGCGAGGCTCCTTGCACACTGGCCCTGCAAATGTACCTCGCAGTACGGGGTTCGATTCCCCGCGTCCGAATGTTTGGTTGCACGAGTGTTTTTTGCCCTCAAAAATCACAGTTGGATTCACGTTCGACGTACGTTTAACAAAGGACTCCACAGGCATAAATAATCGGACGTGGTGTACGGTACACCGCTAGGATTTTTCGAACTCTTTGCCACAAATTTACCTCGCAGAACAGGGTTCGACTCCCCGCGTCCGAATAAATAGGTACTTCAAAAGTTTTGTTACTCAACCTGCCACAATGTCAAAGCTGGTTTTGTGGAAGTCGGCAGACGGCGCCTCGTCGTTGTATGAAATAAGCTCCCCGGAACTCTCTCATTAGGACCAGAGATCCAGCACCTCTTGAACGAGCCCTACCGTTACCTTACTGAATTTGTATATGATTGCGCACATGGCTCGGCGCGTCCCGGACTCACGGTCAACATCAGGTGCTTGTTGACGTTGGGCGCTGATTCATCACTGAAAGTATACTGCCAGCGTGGCACTACGCTTCTCGTCTCACAACGTCCCAGAACGTCCCGCAGACTTGCAGGTTCGCGCGAATATCTCCCATTTGACGCCTCTTAACCTTGCTCTAGCATATCGATGGCACAATCTCGCGGGTTCCCTTCGTCGATCCCCCTACCACCGTCACACGACTTGAGACGACTCCTTACGAGCAACGAGGTTCCTCTCGACTCGGAAATCCCATTTATCACCCAGGCCATCTCAAAGGAGCAGGCACAGGTGGATGTGTTAAATGCTCAGATCCGTAGACGGAGCGGCCCCCACTCCACTGGGCCGCCGCACCTCGTCCAGCAACGCAACGAGATAGCGGAGGATGTTCGTCGACATCAGGCAATCTTGTCCGCAATCCGCCACATCCCCCCGGAGTTGCTTTGCCATATATTCTCCTTGGCAACCTCAGCCACCGGTCGTATCGGTGAAGACATTGTGGATATCCCTCCCTGGGATATTATCCACGTATGCAGATCCTGGAGACAGACCGCTCTATCCTATCCTGTCCTTTGGTCCGTCATCGAAATCTCCCCCTATACTGCATTCTCGACGGACATGATTGAAGCCCAGCTTAGCTGGTCAGGGGACACCCCGCTTGCCATTTATCAATGGGGAGGTATTGGGGATCCCAAGGATGTTGATCCTCGGCTGTTGGATTTGGTGGTTGCGCAGTGCAGTCGTTGGCGGATCCTGCACTTGAAACAGATACCCGATGCCAACTTCGACTGGATTCGCCAAACTAGAGGCAACCTTCCCAGCTTAGAAGTTCTGGAAGTGCTCGCCCCCAATGCAACGGTTCCAGATATTTTTTCTAATGCCACAAGTTTGCGCCGGGTCACCCTTTGCGAGCAGAATTTCCAATGCTCCTCGCCTTCCCTCATCCTCCCGTGGGGACAGATAACGCACTATCGTGGCTCCCACAGTGCACAACGCCAGCTGGAAATTCTAAATGTGATGCCGAATCTTCGCCAATGCAGCATTCGTTACAGCTTCCGAAACGGTAATCTGGCGGGACAAGAGGCCCTACTACCGCACCTTTATAGTCTCATTCTGCAAGGCGATGAGTTCCTCCTCCATCTAAAAACACCGTTACTCCAGGATCTAGTCCTGCACAAAGCGCAACTGGAAACAGTACTGCCTTTCATCCATAAATCCTCCTGCATCTTGACGAAACTCCGCTTAACGTCCTTTACGCTTTCCCCGAAACTTGTCCCTGTACTTGAAGCTCTGCCAGCCCTCACACATCTTCTCATCGAAACAGCTGGTGAAAAGGATCAGTCTCAGGCCGACGTTTTCCATGCGATGAAAATTTCGAACACCTCTTCCGACCTCTGTCGGAATCTGGAGTCCCTCTTCTATGGTTATCCGCACCGCGATAATTTTCCCTGGGATGCCTTCTTCGCCATGGCATATTCCCGCACGGGGCGCTTGGCATGGCTGCGTCTTTTCGATGTTTTCGACGAATACCCAATGAACGACGTGGAACCTGGATTACAGATGCTTCGCGAAGAAGGAATTGACGCGGCCTTCCTACCAAAGACAGCGCACCTGGTTGCATATGCGAAGGAAGGCCTGTGACTCGTTAAACACTTCTCAACCAGACCCATCTGCAAATTCTTGTCGAGACTGGTGTGTCCCATCTTCCCGGCTTCAACGAGCGACCGACGTTGATGTTGATTTTCTTCAGTTTTCATTTTCGGGACATGGTATGCAGGTGCCGTGGGGATGGTGTACAGATTTCTGATACCGATGTTGCAAAAACCTTCTGCGCACGGAATATTCTGTAGGCGCCCGAATCGGTGGTTCCGAGCCCGACGTCTTTCGGGCAATGTCGATATCGGTCAATCTTCGTGTATGGTATACAACTTTTCCTCAGATACTTTTTCACGATGGCACAGTCCCGTATCAACCAAATTGCCACTAGTGATGTGCTTGGCCTGGCTTGAAGCCAGAAGCCAGGCCCGGCCAAGCCAGGGCTTTGTCAAGCCAGGCCAAGCCAGCAAGCCATGGCTTGTGTGCGCAAAATTCGGTCGGAATTCCGGTCCTACATGATTTTCAGTGCGTGTTCCACGCGATCTCACCGTCAAAAGAGTTCGGGCCGTGCTCCCAGTGTGCAGATGTTTGTGCACGTATGCGTGAGTGTGTCGAAGACTTTGGATTCCTCTGTGATTCCCCAAAACTAGGACGTGTTTTTGTGGGCTTCTCAGCAGGCCGACTACCGTCTTACTCATTCCATTGGCTTACTCCTGGCTGCTTACTTGCTGCTTACTGAGAGCGGCGTATAAAATGTGACACTCAGCGTGACTGGACGCGTCGCGCAGTTCTTGCTCTTTCCACCATGAGTCGCAGTCGCGACAAACCAGATCCGGCCAACATAGTCTCTGGCCACCGCTCTAGAAATCCCTCATCACGGCTTATGGACCCCAAGAATGGCGAACCCCCGGCTGCGCCTCATCAGTCCACAATCACGAACTCGCGTAAGTTTGTTCATTCACTGTACGCGTCGACGCGTCCTGACACTGAATCATGGCATAGTCTCCTTTATCTCGAGCCTGGTAGACCAAATCGAGACCTTTTCGGGCCTGCTACCGACATCTGTTCCCAAGGGGACCAAGTCCGACAAGATCTACCACGTTATCACCAACGTCGTGGGCCTCGAGAACAGCGCCCATTCAACATTTACGCGTCGCATGGATATTCTATTTGGTAGTGACTGCCGTGATGAGCAGGGACATTTCCGTTATGTCTGCCGCGGTCCTCATGGGATGGATCTCGTTGTCAAATACCTTCGGTCTATCCCCTGGGTGTCGGCGGGCGTTCCGTTTACCATCGCTGCCGTCAAATTGACAACCATTGTAACGGAATTGAATGTCCTTTGGTGTGTTTAACTCTCAACGCGTGAACTTCGCTCTCTAATCTCGATTTTAGCTCTCAGGCCCCCGGTGCGGAACCATCTCAAACGTCATCTTCACCGGCACCATCAAACTCGAAGCGTGCTGCTAGCGACGCCGTGTCGGATGTGGAAGAGGCCCCCACCAAGCGAAAGAAATGTATGTCGAGCCCCTACTCGTTATTCCGTGTTTAATTAATATTGTCATCAGCCCAAAAGGCTACCGTCGAAGACGCTGACGATGAAGACGACGAATTCCCAGATCGATTGAATGCAGATAAGGGTTCGTTGGCTCCCCTCTGCCTTTTCTGTCAATATAATCTATTGCACTATACAGTTTACACAGTTCCCTCGAGCGACGAGGAATCCGGCTCCGATGATGATGCACCGGCCAAACAGCCTAGCAACAAGTCGGGTAAGGTCTTCCGCATTTCCGTAGCCCCACGATCTCACGCCTACTTCCTGGTAAAGGTTCATCAAAGCGGGTAGTCAAAGATGGTGTGCATCCTCTCATTATTTCATTTTCACTCGACTTACATGCTTAGCCTCGCGACGCCGTGCCAAGAAGCCTCAGCTCTTGAAGCGCTCTGACCCCACTACCGTTGGTGCGGATGGGATGCTTGCAGATATCGACGTACAACCGATCTCCGAAACATCGCGACCACAACTGGCCGCTTCTGCCGATGTGGATCATTTTTTTTCGAAGCCATTCATTGCGACAGGGGTCAAGGGGCTGGACAAACTCCATCGCAAATGTAACCTCTGCGGGTAGGTCTCGGGGCGTTTATCCTCGATCGTCACTGAGAGGCGGAATTTCTAGGGAGAGAACAGTAAAAGATCTATCAACAAACCGTCGGCATTTGGGCAAATACCACGCAGTGCGTCATCTTTGATATTAACCGGTCCACCTCGTTCATGCCACGGTAGCCTCAATATCGCAGATGGGCAACGAAGAATGATTTCGAGTCTAGATTGGAGGCGGACGTCAAGGCACGGAAAGCGGAAGCTGCAGAAGCCAATAAACTTGAGCAGCAGACACTCGACCCACACCTTCGAGAAAAGCCCGAACGCATTGTACCTTATAGCGACGCTGTATTCCGTGACGCGGCTATCGAGTGGCTTATTGCCACAGATCAGGTATGTCGTTTTGGTACAATACTCTCGGTGGCTTCCGTTCATTCCTATCCACGCAGCCTCTCGGAGCGCTCGAGCATCCCAAGTTTATTGAGATGATCAACATCGCGGCTCGGGCCACCAACGGCGTTAAGATACCCGGCCGAAAATCCACGAGGGACGAAATTATGGCGCTCTTCAATCAACAACTTAGCAGCCTCCGAACGCGGTTCCGTGTGAGCGTGCAAATGTTTCTTATCATCAGGCTGATTGAAATGTCCGGTGCAGAGTGATAAAGTGACCGGCAAAATTCATGTAACGTGCGATGCATGGCA